AAAAAAATTAGCCAGGCATGGCAGCATGCACCTGTAATCCAGCTACTTAGGAGGCTGAGTCAGAAGAATCACTTGAACCTGGGAGGCAGAGGTTGCAGTGAGCCAAGATGATGCCACTGCACTCCAGCTGGGACAACAGAGCGAGACACCATCTCAAAAAATAAAAAATAAATAAAAATAAAAGAAGAAAGATCTAAAATCAACAACCTAACCTGAAACCTCAAGGAACTAGAAAAAGAAGAAGAAACCAAACCCAAAGCTCCCAGAAGGAAGAAAATAATAAAGATTAGAGTGGAGATGAATGAAATCGAGAATAGAAGATCAATACAAAAAGAAAAAAGAGAAGACTCAATGAAAATCAGAAATGAAAAAAGTAGCATACTTTGGTAGCACAACCAATGCCATGGAAATAAAAAGAATTATAGGAGAATATGAACAACTGTATGCCAACAAATTGGATAACCTAGAAGAAATAGATAAGTCCCTAGAAACTAAAGCACAGATCGATTTAGTGATATGCTGAAATCATGCAAAGCAGGAACTAATATTGTATCTGTCTAATTTCAAAGTCCATGTTCTTGCTACAATGAAGTAGTACATGAAGTATGCTGATTTCTAAATCTGTAGTTAATTTGGTAGTAAATGCATCAAAAGTTTTCCTCTAAAGTGTAAGCAGGAAAAGAAACAATGTAAGTGTAATTTTTCCTCTCATGTCTATGTAAATAGATTTCTTTGATATGAGCTTGAGTTCTACCATTTCCGCCTAGAATTGGCAAAGAAAAATCCATCTCTGTATGCTAACTTTTAAGTTGTAGAAATTTAGTCAGTGAAAATGAAAGAAGTCCAGCAATTTCTCCCTTCTTTTTTTTTTCACCTTGTGTTATCTCTCTCTGTTGGGTCTACAGACCACTAGGCAGATAAGGATGAAGCCTCAAGTATGTACTCCACTATCCTGTTGGTTACTGGGACAGCAACAAAGCTCTGAAGAAACTATTAAGACTGGGCGCGATGGTTCACGCCTGTAATCTCAGCACTTTGGGAGGCTGAGGCAGGCAGATCAGGAGATCAGGAGTTTGAGACCAG